AAATTGAGAGTTGGGGTGACGGTGTTCCCGATAAACACGGGGTAAAATTGAGAGTTAGGGTGACGGTGTTCCAGATAACCACGGGGTAAAATTGAGAGTTAGGGTGACGGTGTTCCAGATAACCACGGGGTAAAATTGAAAGTTGTGGTGACGGTGTTCCCGATAAACACGGGGTAAAATTGAGAGTTGGGGTGACGGTGTTCCCGATTTCGCGTTCATTCTGTAAATTCGCAATCTAATTGGATTATATATAACAACTTGGAAATATTTCATTATTACAAAATAAAACTGTTACAAGACTGTATACAAGTTTAGTTACCCAGAAAAGTACATCTAGCGACTCCAATTTATACTCATATACTTTTCACATCACATCACAACACATTATTTTAACTATTGTGATCAATATTTTTTGCTAATAAACGTATTCGTCATATTATTTTGGAAAATGGAAAACGTGTTCAATATAGAAAAGATTTTTCGGTTATAGAGGTTTCACCCATATTAGATAATAGCACTGCATTGCGTTGCCAGTTTCATGGCTGCTTCACTTATTCCAAATGAATTCGAAGAAAGTCATTTTCAAAGCCTCATTTGATGACTATCGTTGGTGGCGTGTTTGGGGAATCCAGATTAGGCGCATTCAGTCGATGTTTGGAGAATAAAAGAAGAAAGTCTGACACTGTCGCAAAGAAATGGTTTGTTAAACCGTGGCTCCGGGTATGCAAATAACATTCAAGATAAATAGCCCATTGGGAGTGACTTCCCAGTCAGCTATCTAAACGTACGCTGATGGTTGGTTTAGTTGTCCGTCGATGTTTCGTAATCCTCACCTACTAAGTCTAGTTATATTTGGCTTTGTCTTCTAGGCATCTAGCATATACTAGTAGAAATACACATTTTATCCCATTTTTCGTTTATTCTAATCATTCTTTGGGGGAAATTATACCTTGACATTTCAAGATGTAACTGACGCAATGTTTTGAATAATAATTTTCCATGCACTGTTCGAAAAGTGTAGAATGAGAAACGTGTGTATTGTTCGCGTCGAAAAATCTACTTTTGTTTACTATGGAACACTGCATGTACTTGCTAGAGTGTATCCAATGTATAAGTCTGGCATGAACAATGTCCAAATCGGCCAGTTTACGAGTAACCTGAACAGACTGGCGCAACTGTTGAAAACACTGGTAACATTACTGAGTAGTAGATGCATCGTGAGGAAGGTGGTGTTATTTACGTGATTCACCAACGCATAGCGTATTCTACACATTCACTAACTGTAACTATAGTTGAGATAGGTACATTGCAATCTCAGTAATCGTGTTATATAGGTATGCACATTACCTTAAGTAATGAAAAAATTTGAAATATATGAAAGTACATGACCATTCAAACATTTATAGTTGTGAAATAGAAAATACGCTGCCTGGTTTTAGAAGGTCTAAAATCACTGAATAAAAAAGGCCTTAAGGCAATGTTCTCGTTGAAAGAAAAACATAGGCTCAAATAAAAAATAAGTATTCAGCTACAATTGTCACTCTTTGACAGACTCATTCAACCAATCATTGTCCACGACTGTGACGTATGGAGTGATGAAAGTTCAATTCATTCCTCTATTGAAAATATGCACCTCACATTCTGTAGATTTCTTCTGAATCTTAAAAAATACACCTTATATGGCTATTAACAGGGAATTGGGAAAATACCCATTTCATTGCTTCACCCAAAAACAGCCAATTGAATATGAAGAGCAAATAGTACGTGAAAATGAAATTTATTCTAACTAAGTGAATTGACATTCTTCCTATTTGTTTTGAAATTACGTTCTAATTTCCGAATACCGGAAAGAACCAGATCGCATTGTTTTTTTCAAGAAAGCTAAATTATTATTTCTTCTTCAACTATCATGTAGATATATATCTCAATCAGCGCAGAATGGTGGTGAACGTCGTCTGAAAAACTGTTTTGTTACCATTGTTCCATTAATTTAAAATTCGTTTATTCATTGGTTCAAGTATTTTTTTTTTACCGAAAATGGCTTTCTATGTTTACACAGAGATCACGTGACTATACACGTCCATACAAACACTATCTTGTCGATTTTATATCCAGTGTGAAATAGGCTTTCCATCAATATATAGCTTTGTGAGGTTCAGAGA